GGGAGTGGGGGACCCGCCAAGGCCACGCTCCCCACGACAGGCTCAGGGCATCTGTGCATCCCCCAGATCAGATGTAGGCAGGCACAAACACCCAGTGCCGTGCGAGCATAGGTTACCTTTGGGAGGGGGGAAGGGGGGAAAACCTTGGTTCTTGTTGCGGTTCACTGTTGCCGTTGTTCTTTGTTGTTTTTTTTGTTCTTGTTCCGGCCTTGTTCCCCTTGGGGGGTCCTTTTCCCCCCCCAAAGGGTTTCGGTTCCCTTCGTTCCCTTTTGGGTATGGGGACATGGTGGAGAGCCCCTGGCACTGCTACCAGCAGGAACCTGCTTCCCTCAGCCCTTCAGCTCCTGCTTGGGCATCTCCCACCAACTCCTTGAGCACCACAAAAGCCAAATGCTTTTTGTTGTTGTTATTGTTTCTGTGTGGCAGGCACATTTCTCTCTCTCTCAGGATTTTTCATAAGGGTGCACAGAGAGAAATGAAAGAGAAAACAATTTCTATTTCTGCTCCTTGTTTTTCCCATGTGGAATGTGTTTGGAGAATTGTTTACCTGGGGTGATGGCTTGGTTGGATTCTGGTGAGGATTGTTTGAGCCTGGTGGCCAATCCAACCCACCTGGGGTTGGACTATGGAGTTGTGTTAGAGATACCGTTACAACAAGTAGGTTTGTAGTTTATAGTATCTTCCTTTATATAGTATATTAATGTATTTTAGCATAATTATAATAAATAAATCATTCAGCCTTCTGGGTTGAGTCAGACATCCTCATCTCTTCCCACTGGGTCTGCCTGCATTTACAGCATTTCTGCAGGACCCAAGGACTTGGGATATAACGAAGCAGGGAATGGGTGGCCTATTCAGCCATGTCCCTGTTAGGATCTGCAGGGCCTGGATTAGGAACTCGACTCCAAAATGTCCTTTTCCCTGAGCACGTGGAGCTGAGCTGACTCCAGCCTCACGGCAGGACACTGGAAAAAAGGCTGAGTTAGCAGGGCTGTGCTAATTACCCCCTGCGCAGCTCCTCCCAAACCTTTCGAGACTGTGAAATAGCCCATCTGCTGTGACAGAACTCATTGTCTTAATCACACGACACGTTTGTGACATTCCACCCGGAGCCAGCGACTCCCTCCGCTGCTGGCCAGGAGCCGGCGCCGGGCTCGGGCAGCGCAGGAGGAGCTGCAGATGCTCAAAGGTGCCAGCTGGACCAGCTTTGGTGCCTCCCCAGGGGATAACTCGGGAAAAGGAGGTGGAAAAAATAAGGTCGGAACTGGAGCAACAGGGCACAGACGGCTCCGTTGTTTCTTAAAATAAAGTGTGGCCAAAGAGCCCCCGTGTGGGATGAGGGAGGTTGTGTGTATTTAGCAAGAAAATCTTTTAACACAGAAAATTCAGGTAGGTGGATGTGATGCTCCCACAGCACATCTGGATGTTCCTGCTGGGTTTGGGATTGACTTTCTTGTCTCCAAGAGGATGAGGAGCCCCACATTGCTGTGTTTGCTGGAGGTGGCCCCTGTGCAAGGAGAAGGACCAAGAGCCACTTTTGTCAAGATTAGATTGAAATAAGAGGGGGGAAAAGCAAACTTTGGACAGCCATGGTTTGTTGGAGTCACCAGGGGCATGCAGGAATAGTGGAGATGGATGTTTGGCCCCACAGATCCCTCCCCAAGCTTAGAGCAGGCTGTGGGAAAAACCCAACAAACTCCAGCATCCTCTGTGCAATGAGAAGGGAAATGCAGCTCCAAGGACATAAATTCTGGCAGGAGGAGGTGGACAGGGTGGGGGAAAGCGTGAACAAGCAGTGGAGAAAGCAGGGGGGGTTCAGTGGGGCAGTGGGGTTGATGTCCCTGTGCCCAGGGTGTCACAAGAGGGACAGAGGTCTGTCTGTACTTACTGGCCACCAAGCCATGTCCCTCCCAGCAGGAAAACATCCACTGATGGTGCTGCTGTTCACCCTGCAGGAAGACTGGGAGGAGGAAAGATCAGCACAGAGCACCCTTTCCCTAAAACCCAGACAAGTCACTAGGACCCAAGTCTCCCAGACAAGAAGCCAAGAGACAGGAGACTCGATAATTAATGGGAGCTCTGCAACTCGAGCTTAATTACAGAAACGGTGGCTGCACCCCAAGTACCCGGAGCCATGAATAGCAAAAGGAAGCACCTGGAGAGGGGGAAGCAGGGAGGATGTTCCTGTCCTAGTGCCATCCCCAGCAGACAGGTTGGCTAATAGGACACAGCTTTGGCCAGGGTTTTTCTGCAAGGCAGAATAAATGCAATTGGAGAGTCTTTATCTGAGGCTGCTCAGTGCTGAACCAGATGCCCTGATAACAGCAACACCACCCTGGAATAGACACGGGGCAGAGCTGCTCACACCCAGCAGACAGAGGCTGGGGGAGAGACGGTTAATTGGTTAATTCTGTGGTTAATTCTACCTTGCTCCCAGGCTATAGGAGCCTTTCCATCGGGGGTGAAAGGGGCAGAGGATTTATACAAAATGGAGCAAGTCACAGAATCCCAGAATGGTTTGGATCGGAAGGGATCTGAAATCTTACCTTGTTCCAAACTCCTTCCACTGTCCCAGGTTGCTCCAAGCCCTGTCCAGCCTGGCTTTGGACACTTCCAGGGATGGGGCAGTCACAGTTTCTCTGGGCACCCTGTGCCAGGGCCTCCCCACCCTCACAGGGAAGAATTTCTTCCCAATATCCCATCTAACGTTGCCCTCTGTAGTGGGAAGCCATTCTCCCTTGTCCTGTCACTCCAGGCTCTTGTCCAAAGTTCCTCTCCATCTCTCCTGGAGCCCCTTTAGGCACTGGAAGGAGCTCTAGGGTATTCCCCAGACCTCTCTCCTCTCCAGGTGAACACCTCCAGCTCTCCCAGCCTGGCTCCACACAAGACCCAAAATACACAAGTGAAAACAAGAAAATAACAGAACTTTCAAATATTCCACGCGGAAAATATTCCAGCCCTAAAAAGTAAACCTATTCACACAAGAAAGCAGAAAGGAACAAAAGGGTCTTACCCATATTCCCACACCAAGGTTTAAGGAAAAATAAACCACTACAACAACAAGGTCAGCAACGCTGAACTGCTGTGAGGGGGTAACAGATCAGGCAGTGGAATTTAACTCCTTCATTCCTCAGCCTCACAGGGTGACTGAATCAGTAACTCATTAGCAGCCCAAGTGCATTTATCATTAAACAGCCCAGCAGCAGGAATTGTGCTTCCAAAGGTGCCTGGGTGGGCAGCCTGGCCTCACTGCTTCCCACCCCTCTCCACTCCCCAGGGAGCCAAACCCACCTGATTTCAGTGTCTCACAAATGGGCTGGGCTGAAAAACATCTGAGTGATGCCTCATGTGCCCCCCTCCCTTTCCACATTCTAACACTGTCAATTTTTGACAATTATTGATTCTAACACTGTCAATAGCCAAAGGACCTGCAGCCCAGCCTTATGGATGCAGTTTGTTCCCAAATTCCTGAGCCCTCATCAATATCATAACTGCACTGCATGAAACCAGGCAAAGCTGGGGGTTTTCTGTGTTTTAAAGCAAAGATCAAACAGGAGTTGGGTGAATGGCTGAGGTGGAGCCTGGCATGGGAGCAAGGGCTGACCAGGAGAGACCCCCACAGAAGAGATCACAGAATCATGGAATCATTTGGCCTGGAAAAGTGCTCTTAGATTATTGAGTCCAACCATTATTCCACATCTACTCTGCTTTTAAATCCCTGGTGATTCCACCACTGCTCTGGGCAGTCTGGGCCAATGCTTGACAACCCTTCCCATGAGATTTTTCCTAATATCCAACCTAACCTCTCTCCTGGTGCAATTTGAGATTATTCCCCTTGCTTTGTCACTTGTTGACTGGGAGAAAGACCAACCCCTCACCTGCATCCTCCTGTCAGGGAGCTGTGGGGAGAGGAAGACACAGCGATTCCTCTAAAGGCCAACATGAGACAGGCACAGGAAACCACCAAAGAATCCCTTGTTTTGGGGTATTTAGCCATCAGTTTGCTGCACTGGACACTTGTCTGGCTCATTCCCAAGTGGCAGCACACTTCCACAAGGTCTCACTAATAAAATAAACACGGTGCAGTTAATATACCCATCACTGAGTCAGGTCAGCATTTCTCCTCTCTTTGAAGCAGCTGAGGCAGCACGGGGAGCAGCTCTGCACATCCCTGAGAGGAACAGACCTTCCCCCTCAGTGCTCAGCTGGAATTTGACCTGCATTAACACATCCAAAGTACCCACACGTGTCAATAAATCAGCCTGGTGTATCCATTAACATTAAGGAAAGCACCTGGTTTTACCCTTTCAAGTCAATGAACCCTCCAAAGTCCTTGGAAGTTTGTCTCCAACATAGAAATGATGTCAACAAAGGTTAATTTTCACTTCTGAACACGCCAAAAGCTTTATGCTCATTTGTAGGACGTGATGGGAAGATTAAACCAAACAGCCTCTGAATGCTCATCAATTCCACCACTGTTTTCTCTGCAACAGGTGAAGACCTTGGAGTCTCTGGGACTGGGAGCTGCTGCCTGGCAGCCAGCCGGCCATTCCACCCACACCTGCCCAAGGAAGGTTGGGAAAACAAACCTGGACAAGTTCAGCTCTGCACTGTGGTGTATTTTTCAGCTCATCCACGCATTCAGGGCAGGCAAGAAACCTCAAAAAAAACCCCCAGTTTACCTGTGATGAGCTGGTTTGGATTTTACCAGCTGGAACCTACTACACCCCCCACAATATTCCCATATCATAGTCACAGAATGGTTTGGGTTGGGAAGGATGATCTCATTCCAAAATCTTGCCCTGGGCAGGGACACCTTCCACTATCCCAGGTAGCTCTAAGCCCCATGCAAGCTGGCCTTGGACACTTCCAGGGATCCAGGGGCAGCCACAGCTTCTCTGGGAATCTGTGCCATGGTCTGAGTGAGTCTCTGTAGCTCCCTGACATCCACCTGCCATATTTAAGGATGCACAGTTTAGAAGACAAAGGACCAGCACATGAACATTTTTAGAAAGCTGACACAAAACAAGTCTTTATTCTTTGTCGCAGAAAATAAATACAGGTCCATATTCCATATGCTTTTCTATAAAAGCACTCCTATAAAATCACTGAACTGCATACAACAGTACAACCTTTTTGGCTTTTAAAATGCAAATATTATACAGTCACTTCATTTTATTATCATTTAAAGCACTTGTAGCAAGCAGCTTTGGAAAAGGAATGCTTAATTTAGAAGCCAAATTCTTGCCTCAAGTGTTTTGTGGGATTTTTCCATCGTGTATAGTGCAACTAACCTAAAAGCAACTAAACAGTTTTCTGTAAAAGGTTTATTCCCACCAAACCCCCCCACAAAAACCCTGCAAAGGGGAAAAAATATTGTCTTAAAAACTGTTCTACCTTGATACTTAAACCAAGAAAAAACAAGAAGTGGCTCAATGGAAATATTAAGGTAAGCGCAATGCTTCACAGCTCGCTCTCTGTTCGATTCCAGTTTGGCCCGGGGTGTTTCTTTAGAGGAAGAAGCTTTAATCATCCACTCCTATATTCCTGAAAAGGTAGGACATGGACTCCCCATTGTGGATCCTGCGAATGGCTTCTGACAGGATCATGCTGATATCCACAGTCTTGATTTTAGGGCACTGAAGTTTTTGTATCTCATGTGGAATTGTGTTTGTAACAACCACCTACAGGAAGGAGAAATGGTCAGGAAGACGTAGCTGTGTTGTTTTCCACCTTTTATACTGGAAGGGTGAGAGGGAGTTTTACAGATCCTACAAAACCACCCAGGCTGACAAAACAACATTTTACATTACTGTCAGGGTCACAATCCCAGGAAGAGCCATGTGTTGCCATAGGTTCCATGTAACTATGGATACTGATGGCACTGTCCCTCCTTCCTTTCATCCAGCCACACAGATCCAGAGGAGGTGCAAAAACCTCCCACCCACTGAGGAGAAAGGTGTGCTGATACTGACAATCCAGCATCTCACCACTTCCCACATTTCCCACTGCTCTGGTTTAAAGACATGTGGATGCTAATATTCCAGCACACAATACCACAGTAAGAAAGCCTGAACCAGGAACCTCCCATCTAAATCCTTAATGGCAGCATATGTCAACAATCAATTCAGGAGAAAACGGCTTGCTTAGAAAAGCCCCAGGTCACTTGATCAGAGCTCAGACTCCACACTCACTTCATCAATGGCAGACTCCTCGATCAGCCGGGGAGCATCTGAGGACAGCAGCCCATGGGTGGCCATGACAAAGATCTTGTAGGCCCCTCTCTCCTTGAGGGTCTCAGCTGCAGCCAGAAAGCTGTCAACGTCATCTATGATGTCATCCTGCCAAAATCCCAGAGTCACTGAGGGTTCACCACATCAGACACACAACACAGCACATCTGACTGGCAGCACAGCTTTAACCAGTGTAGCAAACCCCAAACTACCAGAAAATCGTTATTTTCCTGACAAACCCAAACAAACTCTGCTTTAGAAAAAAGTGCATCAAGGACTGATAGAATGGCCTGGGTTGGAAGGGACCTAAAAGATCATCTCATTCCAAGCCATGCCATGGGCAGGGACATCTCCCATTAGACTTGGCTAACCAAAATTCCACACAGCCTGGCCTTGAATGCTTCCAGGGATGGGGCAGCCACAGCTGCCCTCCTAGAGAAAAATTTCTTCCTTATATCCAATCTAACCCTACTCCCCTGTAAGTCTGAAGCCATTCCCCCTTGTGCTGTCACTGCAGGCCCTTATAAATATCTCTCTCCATCTTTCTTGCAGGCTGTCCTCAGGTACTGGACAGGCACAATCAGGCCACCTCAGATCCTTCTCTTTTCCAGGCTGAACAATCCCAGTTCTCTCAGCCTTTCCTCACAGCAGAGCTGCTCCATCCCTCTGAGCATCTTGGTGGCTTCCTCCAGACTTGTTCCAACAAGTCCAGGTCCATCTGCTCAGCTTCACTGGCATTTCTAAAGTCACCAGTAGGAACAGGGTGATTCTCCCCTCCTCCTGTGTGTGCATGCAGCACCTGAGCCCCTTCAGGTAAGCACTGAACAGAATTTCACCTGCTCTGCTCATGGAAACAAGATCCCAGGGCTGCTTCCAGATTGGATCCCTGCAGAGCTCCCAGCCAGCTTTGTGAGTGTGCTCAGTGCTGCCCCTCCCTATCAGAAGTCCACCAGCAACCAAAGTTTAGTGGCTGATACAGAACAGCCACTTGATTTCTGCAACTTGAACATGTTTAATATCATTTATTAGAACTGATGGCATCTCACTTACCACAATGATAGCTATTCTTCCTCCTACATCTCCAACTACTGTGATGGGTGGTTTTTCCTTGGGAATCAGCACTGATTAATGGCAGATGTTTTTAGAGGGGTAAAAAGGAGAAAGAAAAGAGGAAGTTTATATAATTTATTTGAGCTATGGAATAGTCTGATGGGTCACCACTATTAGAGACATGAATCAGCAACTATTTCAACATCACTACTGAATGAAAACCAGCAAGATTCTAATACATAAACAATTTTTAAGCTTAATTAAAATATTAACGATATTAATTTATACCAATTCTTTACCAATTCAATTAATTCTTAATTTCAGCACAGAAGCAGAGTGGCTTGCAGACAAAACCAGTGACCCATTGACACACCACGCTGGGTTTGTGCCCTGCAGTTCTGCTGGTGCAGCCAGAGGTCACATCCACATTCAAGCAAGAAGGAATTATCTTCTCCCCACTATGAAAGATGATTTTTTTTTTCCTCTGTGAAGAACCACTCCTTTTAGACAGTCCATCTGTGCCAAACCCAATCCCTAAACCCACAAAAACACCAGGTAACACTTTCCCCCACAGACTTACTTACTGGGGATCTCCAGGCTGGGGTGGATAGCAGCGACGTATTTGGCTGTCGGAGGGGAGTGCCGGCCGTCCACCATGTCAGACTCAGCATCCTGAGCTTCCCCGTGGATCACGGCGATTCCCAACCGCAAGCGCTCAGCAAACGACTGTGCCCTGCAGGGGAAGGGTTAAAAGAACCCAGGAAAAGGTTACATTTCAAATAACTCACCTGTCTACAATCCTAACCTAGTTCCATCTTATTTCTAATGTTTCAGAGGGAAGTCAAACGATCCTAAAATTTTAGGAGAGTTCATGGAAGAAATCGGTTGCCCCTCAGTATCTTTTTTTAATCAGGTTTGTTAAAGTCAGAATAAACTTCAAAGTGCCCATATGGGCCTTAAAGCTACAAAATAAATGCTGCAAGTCACAAAATGCTGACTACTCCCTTCTGCTCTGCCTAACAGCCAAAATAACATTTCCCAGCCTTCAGCATCCTTGGGATCCCATGCTTTAGCAGGACACATCTAACAGTAATCAGGAGCAACTCTAATGTCTGGATTGTCAACATTTAATAGGAAAAAAAAATCTCATATAAAAAGAGAAAACAAGTGTTGACCTATTTATTTAGTACTAAATAAAGACAATATCCCTGACCTGCTGACACATAACCTGAGATAGCCTATGGAAAAGAGGATCCAGATGATCATTCTGCCTGACAAACCACACTTGGGAGTTGAACAGCTTGGATTTTTTAATTAGCTGACATGAAGTTCCTTCACACTGCAGTATTTCTTCAACTAAAATTAGAAATTTCTGTAAAGAAATGTAAGGTTAGTTGGGGGAGTGGGAAAAGCAGAGAGTCAGGAAAACAGGAATTTGCACCCCAGATATTGGAAGCAGCAAATACCAATTAGCACATCCATCCCACCTCACCTTGCACACCCAAGGGTTTGGGATCCTGCCTAAGCCACCCATCCAAGCCACATCCACAGTCACTCACTCTGCTCTAACATCAGCACCTCAGACCAGTGCCTGAATCACCTCCTCTGTCTTTAAGCCTTATTTAACTATCCAAACAATACAAAGTCCACAGAATGATTTGCCCATCGTGATACTCAGTTAATTAAAAAGTAAGAATCTTCCACCCTGTGGTTATCATACAGTTGCAATATTTTTGCAAGTAGTTAATTACAGGTAATTATTATTACAAACACTAAGAGTTATGACTTAACAGGAATAATCCTATCAATAAAACTGTATTAATTACCTTAAAATGCAATATTAAACTGAATAGAGTTCAAAGTAACAGCCAAATGTTTAATTTCCAGTGAGCTCAGAAACCACAGTGACATTCTGAACTTCACCACACAAGGGTTCTCTTTCACAAGCAGGCATTCATCAAAAGTATTTTCCTAGATTGTTTTCAGCCTGAATTAGGCTGAAACATCCAATTATCCTTCTCCCAATACAATGTAACTCTTCACATATTGTCCTTAAATACTCATAGGAACATTTGTAGAAGCTAAACAATACAATTCTGGATCCTCGCCTCTACAAATCACTGCATGATGTGCAACTCATCTGTCTATTTGCTGGCAATTGACAATTACTGGATCAGCATTAAAATGGTGCAACAAACACTTGCCTCCACCCAAGAGGCAATACTGACACCGCAGAAAAGAAATGCAAAAGAAACAAAGATAAAATTACCTGGCCAAAATAAAAGAAATCACAAAAAGTACTGTTGGAGAAAAAGATGACAAAAGGTGGTTTGTTACAGAAAATAAGGAAAACAGAGAGTATCACAATTCATTGGCATGGAAGTCCATATATCTTTTCAACAAGCTCTTGGTTTGTCACCACAGCAAAGACAGCATCCCTTAAACCACCATCCAGCTCTTACAGCACCTGCTGACAGCACTGTAATTCTAGAGTTTAGGACAGTCAACTAAAAAGCTTCATGGATTAAGAACAGTCATTCAGCCACCAAAGACTTCACAATCACAATCATCTCAAACCACAAACCCAGTTTCACCATCTGTGTTTAGGATCTGATCAGCCATGTTTGTAGTTATGCCCATGTTAAGAAACTCATCTGGATTAATGGCATTACACTTCCATCCATTCTTCTTCATTTACAGCAGGAGATTTATAATGTAAATGCACACAAATACAACACGATTAAAAACTTTCTTAATCATAAGCACTGCACTGATTTACCACATCCTTTTGTATGGTTTTTTTTAAACTCTCCTTAGATTTATTACGATTACAGCAATGATGCAAAAACTGACAGAGCTGACAGAGGAGAACTGGGAGGAGGGTAAAGGCTGCATCTTCTAATTGTTGCCTATTTGTCCTTCACTTGATCCTAGGAACAAAATCCCGACAGAGATTTCCTGCTCTAAGGCAAGAGAGCAGATCTTACCCACCTCTTTGCAGATGCAGGAGATTTGGCCACAATTACAGCATTCCTGTAGTCTGGTATCTGTAGTAAATAACAGATAGCAATGTCCACTTCATATCTTTAGACAAATTTAAACTCAGTAAGAATCAGAGTACTTTATTTTGCCAGAATTTTTTAAGCATTGAACATTTTACCTAAGAAAGCAACCTCAAGAATCCACGGTACATGATCAGGGTTGACAACTCAGTAAAAACATGTATTTAGAAAATTCAGATATTAACTTCAAACCTTTTATAAACCCCATTTTATAGTACAGATAACAGAAAAGTAACTGCTTTAGGACATCAGGGTTACACCCACAAGTGCTGAAAGAAACAGGAAACCATCAAAATTAAAGTTTCCTGTTCAACCTAAATTGTCTTTCATCACTAAAAAACAGCATTTTACAACTTCCTATTGTCTTATACAGTACCCCAAGAAAAGTCACACCTCTTCATCACATCACACTGACTCTTTCTTTGGACCATCAGAAGGGATAAAACTTCCACAGCCACTGCACTGATCCTGTAGGCACTGTCTCACAGTGCTGCAAACTGCCACGCTGGTCAGCACCAGGAGATGCTGCTGCCAACGCTGACAGCACCAGAGGGATGAGGCCAGCAAGTCTGGGTTTCCCTCTGATGTCTGACAGGTGCTTCAGTCGGGCTTCACAAGCACAGTCTGCTTCTGAGTTTGCTGCCCCTGCTCCATTCTCATACTGTTTTTTCACTCCAGACACCCGATCCTTATTTAGCCAGCATTTTAAGTTTCCATCTCTAAAAGTTTCTTATTCTCATCTCCATTTTTCCTGCAGTGATTCCACATCAGATTCATCTAACCTGTAACATCCCAAGCATTCCAGCATTCACACTTTCAGTTCTCCTTTCCAACAGCAACTACAACTGCACTCCCTCTGGTATCTCATTTTACCCCACTCCTTGCAAACTCAGCCTTTTCCTTCCCTGTGCTGCCCTGGGATGATCCATCTCTATGGAGAGCAGCTTGAAGAGAACCTGTCTGTCCTTCCAGCCAAAAACCACAGTCCTGAGCCAAGCAAAGTCCTACAGAGCAGGTCCAGTCCTCAGAATCCCAGTGTTAAGGGATGGAAGACACTTCACTAAGTACCTGCAAATTGATCTGTTAGGGATGGAATTCACAGATTTGTGGGGATGACACCCTGTCATGCAGCTCATCACCTTGTCAGATGTCAAATACTCATTCCAGAGCACAGGAATACTTGGGGTTTCTGCAAACACAGGCAAAGTAAGTTCTTCCACAATCTTAACCACAATATACAAACTGCACTGGCTGATTATTTCCAAAACACTACCTGCTATAGGCATGGGAAAGAAAAAATAAGTTCTGAATTTGGGCAAGGGCTCAACCAACGGAAAGTAAGAAATTTACTGAGGACGTCAGGCAACGTTAATAATCCACAATGTTAGTAACTCCACCTATAAACTGGGAATTCAGCATGTTCTGTCCTCTGCAAACACCGAGTTATACAAGAGGCTACAAAGATTAACATGATGGAAGGTATGGACAAGGCAGGGCCTGTCACTCGACATAACAAAGGCTTTGATCTAGTTCAGACACCATTGCCTCATTTTTCCTCTGCCAAATTAACAAATTTGTTCTCAGCTCTTCAAAAATGAAGTCAGAAAGCCAGAAATGTCATCCCAAAGACTCTGAGGTGTCAATATGTCCAGGTAACAAAGGGCTCTGTCACTCTGGGATTAACACCTGCACAAAGGAAAGAGAAGCCACGAAGTATCCAACACTTGCAAGCACACAGAGGGAAACACCAAATTATTTTCATATCACAGGAATTTCACTGATTGGACTGGCTTCATGCCAGAACAGCAAGTGATTCTCTTCACATCTAGGCATGTATTTCCAACAGGAAACAACTACAAGCCCTCATTCTCCTAACTTTCAGCGAAATGTTTTTAAAGTGATTTTCATTCTCATCAAGCTGGACTCCATTTTGTGCTCCTCAGTACATCCCATCATGATTCCCACAGCTTTGAAAGCTCTGGCATTCCCAGCACAGGATATCCATCACGTTGTGGCCATAAGGAACTTGAGATGAATACTGAATTCCCCCTGAGCAGCAAAGTTTTAAGCACAGATACTATAAATGATCTGGCTGGTGAAGGTACTTGCCCGTACAGATCCCATGTGATCAGATCTATTCAGTCAATTCTGGTTTTAGAAAATCCCCTCATGGATGAGCAGAGGGATGAAGAACTAAAAGTATCTTTTAAAACTTCTTTACACATACTTCAGATCTCTATAAATGGCCACTTTTTAGACTGCGTAGCAGTCAGACTCAAAGCTTCAACAATTTTGTGTAAACCATTAAAAGCTCAGGAATCACAATGCGCTTCAAGATCAAATCAGGACCATGATCTTGTTATTGACCATAAACCACAGTTTCAAGCAACACATAAAGGCAAAACTTGTCTTGTGTCTATGTATTTGGTGTATTTGGTTTTCTACTTCTGTTCTTTTGTTTTTTTTTTTTTTTTAAGTTAGGAAGTGCTTACAATGTGCAATACTTCTTTCTCGAAACACAAGATGAATGACTGTGGCAAAGGCAGAGCCTGGAGTTTTGTTCTGCCATCCTCTTTGACTCTATTACCAAATGAAATTATAATGAGGCATTCAAGCAGATTTTAATACTGTCATAACACAATCATGTTGGTTTGGGTTTCTTTAAGGGGGTGGGGTGGGGTGTGTTTTGTTTTTTAAATTGAGGCATTCCTATCTTTATAAAAAGAAAAAGCTTGGATTCAAAAGCAAGAGTGAGCTAAACCCTTTCTCTCATCAGGAAGAAAGCACTTGCTTTATTCCAAATTACCATTAGTCAGAGGCTTAACATGCATCTTATACCTACAATTATCATTTGCACATTTTGTACAGGCCAATTTACCAGTAGCACTTCTCCAAACCCTTTTAAAAATAAGATGGAGAAATGGAGGCACAGAACATCCCAAGTTAAGCTCCTCAAGTCAAGACATGCAGTCTGAACTAACAGTGAGTGAGATTTCCTCCCACCAACCTGACTTTCAGAGCACAATCAATAGGCTCTCTCATAGTTTACAATTTCCAAAGTGTTTCTTATTATGTGATTTAAATTTATATCCACACAAGCAGTCCATCCTATAAATGTCAAGGAAACTGGAAACAGAAAAGGAAGAGGACAATGAGAGCAAGAAAATCCTATTTTTTTTTTTTTCATTGTGAGGGGAATATATCTAAGGAAAAAAACAGCATTGCTGCATGGCTAAGAAAACACCAGCTCTTCAGGAAACCAAAAGTTAAATGTGGAGAAGAGAAGAACCAACATCTCCCAACACCACTCCCTGCCCCAACATGACCCTTCCCCCTTAAAATTCAGTTTGAAGAGTTTATCTTTTCAGAGGGATTTGTTTCAGATGCCCTGAGACATGACAAAAAAAAATTAAAAAGAACAACTGTTATAACAGGCCTTCCTCACCTCTTCTTGGATGTACTGGAGTAAAAATGGGGATGCTCTCAAGTTATCAACTGGAATATTGAAGAAACCCTGAATTTCCTTCTGGTGTAGATCCATAGTAATAAGATGAGTTAGTCCTTTAAAACAAAACAGTAAGATACACAGAGATGCACCTCAAGACAAGTAAGAGAGAATAGACACTTTATTTTTCTGTTTCTCTGCAGTTTGTCCAGAAAATTTCTAAGCTGGATGAGAACACTAAAATACATAATAAATTAATTTTAGTCCCTCTTAAGCACACTGGCATTAACATGTTTTGAGGCTTTTAAAGTGACTTCTTGAAAAGAACCTCAGAACGCTGCACATAACTGACTCTGCAGTGCCACACTGAGGCAGGAAGATCCTTCTCCACTGGACACGGGACAAAATGGAAGCACTAATTTGTCCTGTGTCACACAGCAAGACCCTGGCATGCTCTTTAGTTCTGAACTCCTGAAAAAGGGGCCAAGCTCCTCATCAAAATCCACTGCTCTCAAAGTAACAGCCCAGATCCCACAGTTTGTTATAACTGCCTGTTTTTTCCCAGGGATGGGAGTGAAAGGAAAGAAGTAGAAAATGTGTTGAAGGCTGTGAAGATGAATAATCTCATTCTCCCACATGGTCTCAAATGTAAAGGACAAAGTGCATTCATCCAACAAGGAAAAAAAAGTAAAAAACAAGTCAGAATGACAAGGCACAACTGTTCCAGACTGTAAGAAAGGCAAAGGATGGTATTATGAGAGGTCCCAAAGCAGCTCAGCCCAGCAGACTCATTTTGCCAGCTCAGTACAACTCAATGCAAAATGGTTGTAACAAATTTGGGTTTTTTTATGAGCTCATAATTTGGAAATATTTCTAATTACATTCTCCTTTTTACATAGGTTTTAAACACATGAAAAGCTTGGCAGTTATTTTTAAACAGAGTCCAAACTTGTGTATAGATCTCTCTAAACCTGGAAGCTGACAGCAGGAGCCCCCCTTGCTCTGATTTAAGGACAGCCACATTCTTACCAGCTTTGCACATCATGGAGGCCAGCAATTTGGAGACAATGGAGCCCCTTTTCCTCATCTTGCACTGTTTGCTGTAGGGGAAGTAAGGAATCACTCCAATAATGCTTTTGGCACAGGAGGTTTTGCATGCATACACCATGATCAGGAGCTCCATGATCGTGGTATTCACATCCCTGCAACGAGAAACATCTGCTTCTGTAGCTGGTGCAAAAAATCCTCTATTCACCACAGTATTTACACCCAGCAGAGATGGAGAGGGCACATTTTTAGAGAACTGGTCATCAAGTAAGAGCTACATTTCTGCTGCCATTAAAAAAAAAATACTTAGCATTTGTAAAGTTATTTTCATATAAAATTAAAGAATTTCTGCATCACAGGACACATTGCCCAGGAAACGTTCCTCCTACATCTTAACTTTGTGATGGTGCTAGAGACAGGAAGCTGAGAAGAGAAGAATTTAGAGATTGACATAAGCAAATGAATACACTTAGGGAAGGAATGTAGAGACCAAGGGGAAGGTTTTATTTATAGAGTCACTAAAAATTAAAATTGTAGAAGCTACCTTATGCCAAAGCTGTTTTTGTGTACATATAAAAAACCCAACAAAACCAATACCAAAAACCTTCCATGAGCCTCTATCTAGTTCATATAAGCTTATCACACTGCATCACAAACACAAAAGGTGATTAAAAATGGAAACCAGAAGCATTGCTATGGACAGCCCACATCAAATGCTAGCACAGGGTCTTTAAACAGTTACTCACTTTGAAACTGTCTGGATGATAAATACATCCTTTCCTCTCACAGACTCCTGAATCTGCACTCGTGTTTCTGCCAAGAAAAGAAATATGTCATATTTGCAAGAGTCTAAGGAAAGGGGAACCAATACATTCAAATCAGTGTCAGGTGCATTTCCAGTTTTGCTAATTAAATGCTCACCTCTGTTTGGCTCTTGATAAACCTGAACCTTTCCCATCTCAACTCCCAAGCGTCTGCAGGAACAGAAATAAGGTACAAGTCAAAAGGGGAGAGGAAGGGCAATTCAAATGTAGATCCCATATAATGCAACAGTTACTGAAGAGGCTGCATTCCATGGGAGAAAACCAAGGAAAGAAAATCCCAAACCAGTAATTACAGTGAACATCTCTTTCAAAAGCACCTACAATTTCCAAGAACTGCACTGCAGGCTATGCTAAACTTATTTTCCAGTCAAGCTCAGACCAAGCAGCAGGGAAAAAAATGCTGGAATACTAAATCATGTAACATTTTGTGATTTTTAATATATTTCTTGCCCTATATACATATATACACACACATGTGGCAACATACATGTGCACAATACTTAAAAATACTGCTTTTAAATCACTCTTCTCTATAGAAAAAAATCTTTGCAGAGCGAAGAGGAAAGAGTAGCAAGTGCTTTTTTATGGATAATGGAAGAATAATATCTGCTGTATTTATTCCTTGTCAGCATTAGCTAGAAGTCATCACTACAAAGAGACCAGAGTATGCTCTGCACTCAGCCCAAATTCTTTCTACACATAAGCTGAGTTCCTTTGCACTCCCCTTTCTCCTCCTGTCACACTTAACTTTGGGTAAATAAGCCTCTGGAAGAAACCTATCCTAATATTCCCAGTAATGTTATGCATCCTAATTAGCACAGTAAAAATGTACTTAAGTCCTAAAAGTTCTGCTACAGCTATTCATGGATTTAAGCTAAAGAAATGTTCCCATCCAAAATATACAGAGAGCATGAGGGATGTAGTCTTCCTGCCTAAAAATACCCCACTACAAGGAGTGAAAACTTCTGCCATGATGATTTAACACTATGTAAACATTAATTATTCCACGTTTCCTATAAAATGCTGCAGCCAGCCACAGAACAATTTAAATACAGGTTACTCTCTCTGTTATTGAGCTGTTGAAATACACTTTCCAATAGAGCACACTCAATATTCTTGCAAATCATGGCAGTTTTCCCATGTAACTTTCCTTAAATAGGGAAGTGAAATGTGCAGTAAAACAAATCCCACCAGAATAATCCCAAGATGCAAGTTCCCTGCAGACTTTACTTACTCGGCAATCCTCTTGGACAGCTCCATGCATGAGGAATTGGAATTAGCTGAGAACAGCACCAGCCCACCCTTGGTGATATTCATGATGGCCCCAATTTCAGTTGATGGCACACAAAACATCAACCCTAAGTTGTTTTGCCGCTCCTAAAAGACTGCAAGGGGTCAAAGGTCATTTAAATTCATGTTTAAAAAACAAACATTTTCTCTGTTTAGAAAGTGTAGTCTCCCAGAACCCTGGATACTCCTTAAAATCTGTTATCCCTACATTAATAGCTTCCCTACAGCTCTCCAAAGATCCCCCAAGACAACCTCCTAGCACCAATTTTTTTCTTCCTTTTTTAACTGTTTTCCTCAGGCTATCATTCAGTAACACTGATACTTTTATTCCATCAGCTTGTCCAGGTCATTTTCCAGAACTGAGCAAAGTTGATTGACTTTTCCAAAATCACAAAGACAGTCTGGGGTAGAATTAAGCCAAGAAGAGTTCCTGGGCCCTGCCCAGAAGAGTCTATTTCCAAAGCTGAGTCTCTTCCCATTACTTTGCAGTAACTTATAAACTTACAAATAAGGATGAAATGTAAGGAAGAATTCAGTGAAGCTGACAGCTGCAAATAATGACCTCTTGCACAGCAAATCCACTTGCTGAAGCAGCTGTTGTCATTCTTTGAAAGCAATATTTCTCCTGTGAAAACAGGAGAAAAACATCAGGAGGAAATCAGTATAATTTGGTTTTTTTTTGTTTCAAATAAAGGCACAAACCACTAAGCTCACCAAGGATTTGATGGGATATCATGTTTTTATTATTCTTTGTAAATTACATTTTCATGGTTACTTCTACTATAAAATTTTAGTCTAAAGGGGAAAAAAAAGATCCCATTGACCAGCAGCCCTGGATAGATGGAAACATCATTCAACTCAAAATCCTGCTGCACTTCACTTCTGCTGCATAAATAATCCAATCCTTCATCATCCATTTCAGCATTATGTAGGAGACTGGACATATGAAATATGAGTGGCATAATTTAAACCAAAGTAAACAGAAGTTACAGTGAAATCATTAACTTCTTTCCTGGTAAACATCTCCCTGCTGAGAAACAGAATTATCTAATAGTCATACGTAACTGGTTAGAAAAAGCTGATGATGTATCAACTATAAAGTACTCCAAAACAACAACTAAAAGAAAGAGTTTTGTATTTACAGGAGCAGCTGGCTAGGTCTGTAATGAAACTCCTTCACACCTCCTTTACAACCAGACAGTCTGGCTCAGTTTAACTGTGTCAGAGGAACCCGATTCACTCTTGTGAAGAGCCAAAGTCAAGTCTTGTTAGGAACTTCCTCACAACAATCTGCTGGTGCTGTGACTAAAAACCTGCCTCTCATCAGAACAGTGCACAGACTGAGCAGAAACAGTGAGAGCTTCAGCCCCCATTCAGTCTGAATGTTTCACTGCACTAAAACCAGAGGGGGCCCCCCATATCCCCAAGGCAAGACCTGCATCCCTCTCAAATGAAATACCTTAAAAAAAACCCATTTCTTATCTAGTGTTTCTATGCTCTGCTGCTCACTCACTCCCTGCAACTCCCAGCTGTCAACTAATGGCCATCACCCATCAAATATTCATGATGGTGTTCAAGATCCATCTCGGCTCCACCAGAGTGAACAACCTGAAATGCTTTTAGGTCTGAGAACACCACCTGAGAGCACCCTGCTTGTGTGCCTGGATGGGAACAGCGTGGAGGCAACTTTCCGTGTTACTAAAAGCAGTCATAGAGTGTTCAGAAGGCGTGTTTTTATCCAGTTGTGTGTCTTCTTTGTTCCATAGATTAGGGAAATGAGGAGCTGATTAAGAGATCTGAAAAGATGAGTTGCTGGCTCCCAACTATTGCTGAGGGTGCACTTTACACCACAATACAATGATGTATTTACAAGCAACAGTTAACATTGCTCTTCATGTTATTATAGGTCAAGGACTTTCTTGTGGACGTACTTCAGCAGCTGCAAGTGGGCTATGGTGTGTGTGGGCAGGGAAGTTGCATTTCAGGAGTAATATGGATATATCAACCTTCAAACAGGTGTTGGGATAAAAGCAAGCTCACAAAACTTTATTAGATGTGCAAAGGCATGACTCCACAGGGGTACATGGGACAATAATAACCTTTGGTTTGAGGTGGGCCAACCTTCCAAGATTGAACGCAAGCACCACAGAACAGGCTGCAGCACAAACACCTGCCTTTCCTTCTGGGCTGCACACAATTACACAGACACATCACGATGAGCACAATTACCGGGCACACATGGCTTTATGCTTCCATCAACTGATGATGTCCACACAGAAAGCCACAGATGCAGGAATACCTGGATGGGATAAGGAGCGGACCCCATGGGATGGAGGGAATCTGCACCCTCTCACCAATCTCCCCACAGGGAATCCTCCCGTCCCTCCACACTCACCAATCCCCGTGGGCGAACAGAGCCTGCCAGCCCACATCTCCCTGGCAGTGCTTCGGATGCTCCAGGTGTGTTCCACAGGCCCCGTGCATCCCATCCCATCCCTCCTCCCCGAGAGCGGCCCGGGCACGCCGCAGCCCCTCACCTGTGGGGCAGCCCCACAGCCCGAGCAACCCCGAGAAGGGGAGCCCAGGAGAGGGTCTCCATCCCCTGAGGGAAGGGCGACGCAGCCCATTCCTCAGGCGTCGGAACCCCGCGTGGGGAATGGGCATGTCCTGCCCTCACACAGCCGGCTGAACTGGGCTGAGCGGGCGGGAGCGCCCCTCGCTGAAGGCCTTACCTGCCGGCTCCGGCCCGCCGGCCCCGGGAGGAGAGAAAGCGGCGCGGCCGGAGGGGAAGGAGGGGGAGAGGCAGAGGCGGCGGCGGAGCTGAGCCCCGGCGGAGCTCCGCGGGCAAGATGGCGGCGGGCCGTGAGGGAGGGAGCGCGCGCGGGCGGGGCGGGCCCGCGGCGGTGCCGCCCCCCGCCCCGCGCGTGAGGGGAGCCGCCGCCATCTTCCCCCTCACGGCCCGCGCCGCCCGTGGGCTCCGCGGTGGGGCCGCCCGGTGTTGGGATTTTAGACTCGGCAGCGTCGGAGGAGACCCGCAGGGTCATCCAGTCCGACTGTCAGCGCAGCAGCGCCGCGAAACTACATCGGGTGCCTCTTCCAACACCTCCAGGCGGCGTGACTACCGCCACCTCCCTGGGTACCTGTTCCAATGCCTGACCACATGGACAATGAATTTTTTTTTGTCCTAATATCTAATTTAAATCTCCCATGTGTCAGATTAAAGGCCATTTCCAAGACCAGCCCCCTCCTCACTACAACATCCTTTCAGGGAGTTGACGACAATGTTGTAAGGGCTTTGAGCATCCTCCAGAGTAAACAAACCCAGCTCAGTCATCCCTTATAAAATACATTTTCTAAACCCGTCATGAGCCATGTCCTTTGCTGAAAAAGAGAATACACATCAGTCCCCAGCTGGGATGATGGGGAGGGACCCCAACACCACAATTCAGCTGCTGCCCCACCAAAAATTACCCCGGTGCAAATCCATGTGGAATAACGCAGTGATGTCCACTGGATGCCATTATTTTGGAGCTCCCACATCTGCATCCCCACCAGAGAGGGATGGAAGGGCGGCTGCATCCTCGCCAGACACAGAGCTACCATCTGGCCTTTGCCATCAGCAGTGTTTATAGAAAAAGAGGCATTTCTGCAAAGTAAATTAAGAACAGAAACTATCAGTGGCCTCTCAGTTCCTTGTCAAAAGCACACAGGATTTATCTGGAGTCCTCTCAGGACTCTCCTTGCCACGTGCATTGGTTGAACTACATAAAGATTCGTCTGACACCTGAAATGAGGCTCTTATTTCAGTCGCCCTGTTTAAAATGAAAAAAAATAGCTTTATCCCAAGACATCCATGACAAAACTGCTTTGGGGAAGTTACAGTCATCCCACACAGACATACATCCCTCCTTTAAATACAAAACCCAAACATCGTGTTTTTTCCCCTGACTGCACAGTTAGAACCTGTTTTAAATTACATTTTTCAGTCTGCCCAAGTTGAACAGCATTTTATGGATCAGAATTTTAGCATTTAGCATAAAGCTACAGATCGGGTACTTTCTCCTGCAGCTTTTCTCACAAAAAGCAATTTAATTTGATTATTTCTGGACTGCAGGGTGCACTGGAGCAAAGCTGATCATCCCAGCAGATATTTCTGCCCATGCTGGCCTTAACATAAAAGAGGAGGAAAAGCCATAGGCAAGCTCACCAAACACGCCTAGGAATGGACAACATTAAATTCATCATTTAAAACCATGTTTCTGCCTCTACAAGCTGCATTTTCCCTTTAAATATTCACAGGCCAGTGTTTTCCTCAGATTTCACATTTGTTTCTTGCTGCATGCATTCCAAGACTTAGTTGTCTCTTTTTTTGATTGTTTTTTTCAGCAGAGCTGGGGAAGGAGAAGCCGTTTAACGTGGAGCCGTGGAGCAGATGTTGAGCACTCCACTTGCAGGCTCACAAAGGCAGGACATCTGTTAGAAATATGTGAGCAGAGAGGCCATCAAGCCTCTCAGATGCTGCAGTGATCCTCTGCCTTTCCTACATCCTCTTCCAAGTTACACTGAGGTGTAAGGGAACAGTCCCATCCTTCAGCACCTCCACCATTCCCAGTCCATGTTTTTCTGCTTCCAGGCTGGTGCTTCCACACAGTTTTTTCAGGATCATTGACCCAAGCAGGCTCTTTTTTTGTTTCAGGGTTTTCAGGACAAAAAGGAAGGGGGGGTGAGCTTTTTGTTGGCCTCTTCACAGAGCAACAGAGATTTCTTTTAGCATCAGTCTCCCTCACAGGGTCCTGCTACAGGCTGGTGTGGCAGAACAGTTTAATGCAGAATAACCAGAAACAACACATGGTGAAGCACTGACCCATAATGCAATTAGCAGCCTTCCCCAGAAGCATTTTTCAATACCCCAGGGCACTCGGAATTTGCTGACTGTTTGATTTGTGCTGCCCCAAATTCCTGACATTGCTTAAGAAAACCACAGGAGCAGGAAATAAGTGATCCTTTTTTTTTATAAGGCTACTGCCTTTATTTTCTTAGAGAAAAAAAAAATCTATTTATTTCCCACCTCTGTCTTCCTGATCAGAGGAACACCAGTTTAAATCTCAGCTCCAAGGAGAGGGATTTGTTAATTTGACAATACTCTATTCAAACACTTAAGAGTTCAACAAACACTTACTCCAAGATGAGCACACAGATTTTGTTTCATTTACAATGATTCAATTAGCAGCCATGTAAGGAAATCTGAAAATTTGCTGTGTGTGAAAACACTGGCTCACAGAGGTTTGTTGTTCTTAATCCAGATGTGACCCTGGCAAACAGAGATGTGCAAAAAAAACTCCCCCACACCACAGCTAGTCCAGCCAAGGTGAAGGGCACTGCTCACCCTGCACTGGGCTGGAGGACAGCCTGCATCCATCACCTGAGAGAAAATAAATGCTGCTGTCACCCCAGCTCCTGAGCTCCATCCATCACTGCTCAACCAGGCTGGCTTTTGTTTGTTTGGAGTTGTTTCTTTTTAAAAAAAAAAAAAAAAAAAGTGGATATTAAAGCTCACCTACCAAACCAGCTGACAGTGAGAACAATCAGGCATGGTGCACCAAAGAAACACTGATTTCATCCTGACAGAGCCCTGTGGATAGGTTTGGTCTTTCCCAGCAAATAAAGGCATCCCAAAAACATCCTCTATCCCTACACAGCCCCTGTGAGCCCACAGGGAGGTTCTGCAGCACACAGACACCCCCACACTGAGCACAGACACAAAACCACCACCTCCCTGCTCCCCCGCCTTCAGCTTTATTGCCTGGGGGACAACTGTGTCCAATTTCCAGAGGATTCTGCCACGGATACTACCCAGCTAGGGAGGCAGAACTCAAAACAACTATAAATGCATTTTGCAATTGATGGAGGGAGGTGTAATTTTATCATATCTTGGGAATGATCTGGAAATAGCATTCCCCATGCCTGGGAAGCAAAGTGCTTTTAATAAAGTTCCTGGAGCAGGGAACACATCTCTGTGTGAAGGGCTGTGGCAGACAGCACTCATTGCTTTATCAAATATTATTGCTTGGCTGGCTGTAGGAAACAGGCACAGACTCATTTGTTACAGACCTGTTCCCCCAAATATCTGACTGAAGGACTCCCTTCAGGGCTTTTTTCCTGTTTCCAACTGTGCTCCCAGTTCTGGATCAGTCTGTAATGTTTAACAGATCTGCTGCATCAGCTCCAGCACAGACACGGGGTTATCTCCAACCAGCCTCCCAACAAGGGGACAAGAGGTTTCTGGGAATACCTGGAGCGTGACAGGTCCTGCACAGACAGACAGCTTGAGCTGGATGTCACAGTGAGGGTTTGGGCAAACACAAAGCTGGCGGTGGTGCCTCTTGTTTAGTTCTCAGATTCCCTCTGCTCTGCTCTGCTGTGCAAGGGCAGCTCTGTCCTGCAAAGTCTGTGTAAGATCCTGTTCACACCCATCACCTGGTGTTTGCAGGTGTGGTTTGCCCTTTGATTGGCCTTTAGGCAAAATTGGTTGGACTGCACAGTGAAATCACGTCATTTTAGGGAGTTTGAACAGCTACACAGTCCATGACAAACATTAATTAGTGCTCTGTTCCTCTTTGTCTATTCCTCTGTTACTCTTTGTCCTACCAGCTGAGTCCCAGCATGATTTGCTGTTTGCCTCACTAAGCTGCAGCTCCTGTCCAAAGAGCACACAGGCACCATGCCCTGTGCAGGCATTTAGTGAGCACAGCAAGGGCTTGACTGGGTCACTGCAGAGCAACTTTGCAGATTAAAGCATAATTCAGTGTATGAGAGGAGGCCCTATGCTTTGCATGCACAACTGTGGGGTGCAAAGAAAGATTTGGTACCAGCCTTGGCCCATACACTAAAAAGGAACTGGAAGAGGTGTAGGGAAGCAGCAAATTGCAATCGGCAAAGAGGATTGTGTGTCCTCCTCAGTTCAGTTCTGACCAGGACCAGCAAGAGCAGATTAATGTCCATAATGGGAGTGGGACCCTCATCCAGCTGCTACACCAAAAAAAGGCTGAGCCTTACTCAGGCCTCTTCAGCCTAGCCCACTTACTGACACCACTACCAACATCTCCTTCACAGAGAAGCTTTCTACCAGAACCTCTTCTCTAATTCACTGCATTATTTCCTGCCTGATTTCAGCTACCTCTGGAAGAGGTTCTGCTCTCAGACCTCTGTGCACTACCTTTGACCTTATCAAACAAGTCAATCCCCCAAGTTCAAGATTGGGACACTTAAAAATTTTACTCACCAGGAAAGTCTCACCAGAGGAGAGGCGTGGGGACTGTGAGGCTTCCCAGAGGCTTTTATTGTCTCATTAAGCTCTTCTTAATGAGAATTTCCTCACCTGCTGCAATGTCCCTCCCATTCATTTACATTCACTATCCTGCTGATGGTACTTATGGCTGTCTCAGCTCCCACTCCTTCCTCTTTCCTCCTAACTATTCTGAGCCCATTTTTTATCTCCCTGATCTCATCCAGGTCCCAGGGAGAAAATACGTTCTCCTCTTTTGTTACTTCTTGCCACATCCTCCTTGGCTGGTTTCCTCCCTGACATCTCTGCATCTTCTCCCGGCTCCAGAGCTCACCTGCAATAGTCTCTCCTCCAAAGCAAGGCAGCAAGAGCTGCTCGTGGTGAGATCCCTGACTTAAATGCTGGCTAAAAACTTACTTGTTCTCTCAGCTAAGGCTCCCCACGCACAGCCTGGATCACACACACCTCAGTGCCTGGACCCCGAGCCCTGCAGTGGCTCTGCCCATCCCAGCCCGCTGTTTGTAGGGGCGGGGATGTCGGATCGGCCCCTCTGCAGGACCAATGAGGCTCACACCAGCAGGGCAGCGGGTTCAGCACCTTTCTCAATGACAGCAAATACTGGGGGGGTTCAGGCTGTTCCACTCCTCCTGTGGCATCTGAAAGAGCCTTGACAGCAGAGCTGCGTCAGAGGGAGCGACAGCTGCCAAAGCAGCCGTTCAGCCTCCTCTGATTGCCTGCTGGAAAGTTTATTTCCCCCTTTTTTTCATTCAAGCTTTTCTAGATAAGCATATGGCAAATGGAAATATCAGAGAGAATGAACTGCCTCCTAGTTGGGAATGAGGGACTGACAATTATCCCTGTGATAATGAGATAGTCTGAACATGAGGGAACTCGATACAAAAGGGGATTTATCTTGGAAGCAGTCCCTTGGCAGCGTGGCCTGTCTTGCTGTCAGCACGGTTTCCCATTGCACAAAAGGGCAGGGATCAGATCCAGGATGACAAATCCATCTCTATCCTGAGCTCATCCTGCTCCATTGCCTACAGCTTTTCCAGTGCTAATTCCTTAGATCATCTAGACACTCTGCTTCACTTAAACCATGTTGTCCCATGCGAATCTGTACCCACCTTGGATCTCCAAATGACTCAGAAAATTGCTTTCTTTCCTACCACAAACCAGGTCAACATTTCAGATCCTGACCTTCAAGGCTGTCAGGATTGAGGAGAGAGGCAAGACAGGACTCCAAGGCCTTGGTCCAACACTCACGGATACTCTTGTCATAAGGAATTATGTGGACTCTGCAAAAAGATAAGGAAAACCAGAAAGAGCAAACGTGGGTCTGCAAAACCTTGACATGGCAATCGATGCTATAGTTTACCACCAGGAGCAAGTAAATAGCCCCAAGAGTTACGTGCTGCATAGCAAACATTGCAGTTTTATCTGCACGACAGGCAGCAATTTGTGGCAAAGGTTAAATCTCAGTTCACTCAAGCTTGACATATGATGGTCGTGTTAGATTCCCCATTCTCAGTGGGTTTGTGCATAAATGTGAGGTTAAGTGCATGTGTGCCTTTAGGATCACGACCTGCATGGTCCAGCAGGCCTATAATTAATCCCCAACATGTTCAAGTGACAGCTCTCATTCGTAATGTCATCCATGAAGAGCAGTGAGGTACGTGTAAATTCCTACAACCCAGCTGGAAGTCAGAGATTCTCCAGCCACCAGAGCAGGGAGCCTCCAAGGCAGCTTTCTGACAGGATGAACAGGACAATTGGTAGGTTGGACTAATTTACAGGTAAATTGGGTAGGGCAGGAGAGGGAGGTGTGATACAGTCACTGCTCACTCAGCTGCCGAGGATGGGCTGGGAATGACAACAGTGCTGTCATTCCCTGCTACACAACCAACATTTTCTACTCACAAATATGTCAGAGTTCCAGAGGCTTATGAAGCCTGTAAGAAAGTTCCCATCTCCTTCATCCTGGACAGCTTGCAAACACGAAGCTTGGCTAGACTCTGCTCAGCCACTTGTTTTTTCTTCTTCCAGTCACTATTTTTCAGATGTACCCAAAGGTCTGAAACCCAACAATAAACTAAAACCATGGTCTGGCAGTCAGATCCATGTGCCCCAGGCAAATCCTCACACCCAGGTCATGTCCTGTCTGCCTCATTCATTAGAGCTGCTGCTAATACCAGTGGTTTGTTTCCAAATTCTAGATATTTAATCTTTTTATCTGCTTGTTCTGTTACCAAAGATGAACCTGCTTGGTCAGGTTGGATCAAGTGTTTTATCTCACAGGCAATACAACAGGCTGGGTATGTTTTACACAAGTTTATTGGGGGTTAATATTCATTCACCAACAGCACAAAGTATCAGATCTGCGCTACTTAAGGGCTGGGAACATGTCAAACCCAAACAGAGACTAGCATTGCTCAGAAATACATCATATCTGAGTAACAGCAGCACAACCACTGATTTGTCCTGTCTGAGGAGAGAAAAGAGTGTCTTACTCACTATTCCCTTCCCTACAAAAATACATACAGCCATTGCATTTAACCCTCTTTTAATAAAGGCTCCATACACAAGAGTCAAAAGGCACAAGGAGTAAAATGCTGCTACTTTGACCCACCTTGCTGCAGCTCCAGAGAGTTCTTCCATCCCCATTGTGGGTTAAATCACAGCATATTTGAGATACCTCCAAAACATGAAATCACACCTCGCTAGCATGTGCAGCCCTTCGCAGTCCCCAGTCCCATGACTTGAGCTCTGAAATGAGGGAAAATGCAGAGAAAAGAACGGCCCCTCCCACACCAGCAGCTGCTCAGACCCTCGGGACCTCCACTTCCGAAGCAGACCTGGACTTGCGCCGGCTGGTCAGGCTGCCCAGGACCGACTCCTCGCTGAAGGCCCCTTCGAAGGTCGACAGGATGGACTGGCAAAACTTCTCCTTGAAATCTGGCCCCACAAAGACATACAGGATGGGGTTGATGCAGCTGTTGAAGAAAGCAAGGCTGGAAACCAAGGGGATCCCTATGTAAAGGGCCAGTTTCATCTCACGGCTGGAAGAGTTTTTGGATATTTCCAGCAAGGAGAAGACGTGATAGGGGAAATAACAGAGGAAAAATGAGGCTGTGACAGCAATGATGATTCTGTAGGGCTTTGCATTGTTGGCCAGCTGCCTCCTTTTCAGCTTGACAGCCACGACGCCGTAGCAGATGAGAATCACCACGAAGGGGATGAGGAACCCACACAAGAATCGCGTGATGATCATCGCTTTGTGCCGCATCCTCCACAGCCTGCGCGTTGCCTCCGACGCGTAGTCATCGGACAGCGCGAAATTATTGTAACAGCTGGTGACGTTCCTGGAACTGACCACCGTGTCCCGAAAGACGAGGTACGGGGAGCTGAGCAGCACAGCCAGGAGCCACGTCCCCAGCGCGATCCTGGCCGCCAGCTCCGGGCTCCTGCGGTTGTGAGACCAGACGGGAAAGGCCACGGAAACGCAGCGGTCGATGCTGATGACCGTCAGGAGGAAGACGCTGGCAAACATGTTGAGGAAGGCGATGGTGCTGTTCAGCTTGCACAGGAGCTTCCCAAACGGCCAGTGGAAGCCCAGGGCGGTGTAGGCGATGCTGAGGGGCAGGAAAAAGGTAAAGATGAAGTCAGCTATGGCCAGGTTGAGGAACCAGATGGAATTCACCGTCTTCTTCATCTTGAAGCCTGCAATCCAAATGACGAGGCCGTTCCCTGTCACCCCCAGCAAACAGGCAATGCTGTACACCACCATGGAGAGGATGTGCATGGTCTTCTGCAGCCCAGAGTAGTAGTCATGGTCAGTGGCATTCTCAGGCTGCTCCGTGGGGCAGCTGGCAGAGAAGGGGGAAGGGGAAGAAGAGGTGCTGTCCATCACTCGCAAGCCAAGACCTAAAATCACAACAGAAGTGTTATCTGCTGCTCAAGAGAGGTGAAAATGTTTGCAAACAACTGTACAAAAAATGTGTATGAAAAGCCAGATTACATAAATGAATTTATAATTAATATAAATTCTTTATAGAATTCTCTGTTCTTCTCTATAGCATGTGCAGCTGCACCTTACAGAAAGCGCCTCAACAGGAGAAACGTACCCCTATTTTGGTGTTGGTGTCAGTGTGTCAGAACACCTTCATAATCAGCCCACAGCAGCAGTCCAGCATGGGCCAACAGCAAAACCATGGCAACCTTGATCCCCCCACTGTGACTAATCTCCTTGGATGACCAGTTACAAATTATGACAGCAAAATCTATCTAGACTGGTAACAATGATGTTAACAGACTATTCCTTCACCAAGCTCCTTCCAGGGAGTTTCAGAACAACACCTGAGCTGTATCCAAGTGTAACCATTGACCCTTTACACACCCACTACCCTCTGGTGAGCCCACCCTTCTCATCTCTCTCCTGCTCATCCTGGCACTTGCCTTGGCAGGTCCTGGCGGGGCTCCCGAGCTGTTCCTCGGCTGCTCTGCCCACAGCGGGTGGTCTCACCCTCCTGACTGACTCCCCTTGTGCTGCTCCTCTCCAGGGTGACTCAACACTGCCTCGCCCCATTTTCCTATGGCTTGGGATCACGAGGAATTGAGTAGGATCACTTATTCCCTAATCTTCTTCCTCAATTTCTGGTGTGTTGATTTAACCCCTAAAGCTCCAGAGGGTGCAGGTTCTCTGGGGCCAGTTGGCTAAGCCCACCCACTAACTCGGATTTTATGAATGAAGAAAACACAGCCTGTGCCATTCATCCCCTTGGCTACTCTCCCTCCTGAGCACCCCGAAATCCCTCCAGGCTCTGGGGTGCTCTGCTGCAAGGCGGGACAGGGCCAGCTCTGCTCCCCACAACAGCAGCAACGTGCCCAGCCTGTGCCAGGGCCCGGCACACTCGCTGTCCCGGGGACACAGTCTTCACAATCTTGGCTGGGGGGTTTTGGAGGTGCCTCCCTGCCCACTGCAGGGTGTTGGGGTCTCATCTTTAGGTTCATGGGGTGGGACACTGGGAACACTGCAGGGCTGGGGGAGAAGTACCTGGGGTGCACGGCAAGGAGGGGCTGGAGCTGTGGGTGACGGCAGAGGAGGGGTGGCAGCAAGGGGTGACGACAGAGGGGTGACAATAGAGGGGTGACGGCAGAGG